GGAATTAGATCCAGCATTTAACTCTAAAAACTTCCTGCAGGAGGGGCTCTTTAGAGGAGGGCTCCTAGGAGGACCCCTGTGCTAATCCCTCTGGGAAAAATAAACTGGAGGATGTGCGGTGAATAAAAGCCAGCCCCCCAGCTTCCTTCCTTCCCACATTTCATGTTCATATCGAAAGCTCCCATCCTAAAGACCCATAAAACAACAGTCCCTACCAGGAATGATTTCCTGCAGGCCCTCTGGAAAGCACCAGGAAAAACGTTCCTTTTAATAGGTTGTTCAGGGAAAATAAAATCAATAATTTCTAAGCAGACATTTCACAGATGCAAATTTATACTGTCCACCCTCCCCCACTACTCCGTGTGCTATAAGAAAGAGGCACCGGCCATGTTGTCTTCGGTGAAGACAGATGCTGCCCGGCACTTCTCAATGTGGGCTCAACAACAGAAACCCTAACCACAATCTCTTGGAGGTTTTTTGGTATGGTCTCAGCTGTATCTAGCTGCCTTTGGCCATTGCAAATACATTCCATTCTGTGATTTACACATGGAATCTCTAATAGAATTATACTTTTTAAGGTCCTGACAAATTAAAACAGGACTGAATGTAGAAAGCTTTAGGTCTAATAAAGACTCGACAATGGGTCTTCAATAAAGACACATCACACTTAAAGGATGGGGACATCGAGACACAATCACGAGATGAGTTTTCTAAGAATGCTTCAATCAAATTGGGAGTTGCTTTGAATAATTAATTAGCTCCCCAGCCATTGTTCCACAACCGGAAGACAGGGCTTCCTCTTTTCTCTACCTTTGAATAGAGAGCTCTAGTGATAGATGTCATGATAGTTCTTTTTCCTGAGAAATGGACCGAACGTCAGAGAATGCAAATCAGAGATGCACGTAAAATAAAGGTAAAATAAAGGTCTGTCTCTGTCTCTGTCTCTCTGACTCTCTTCTCTGTCCCCCATACCTCCCTCCCTCCCTCTTTTTATACTGGGGATTGGACTAAGAACTTACCTCACCAGTTGTCTTTTTTTTTTTTTTTTTTTTTTTTTTTTCAAAAAGAACTCAGGTCCTTGCACTTGCAAGGCAGGCGGTGGAAACACTGAGCTAAATCCCCAGCCCCCATCTTTGTTTACTTAACTTTGAGACAGGACCTCACTAAGTTACTTAGTTGTCCAGGCTGAGGTTGAATTTGCAGTCCTCTTGCCTCAGCCTCTTAGAGTGCTGGGATTACAGGCCTGGCTAAAACACTCTCATTTTTAAACACCTACTCCCTTTGCCATTTCTCCCTCCTGCCCACACTATATGGTGAGACTCTGTCTCCAAAAAAAAAAAGACTTTCATGAAATAAGACTTCCAGAACTGCTCCAGAAAGTGGCAAGAGCGATAGGGTGTGTTTTTAGTGAGGGGAGGATGTTGAGATGCATTAATAGCAATGTACCTTTTATTGTAATAAATTTAAAAAATGTAAATATTTACCTTGTAAATTGATGATATTTCATATATCCCAAGATCCTAAATCCTAGTCCTAGATGTTTACTACACAGAAACTTGGGAGTTCATAGGGTGCTCATGTGAAAATGTTTAAGGACCCCTGGATGTCCATCTCCAGTGGGTTAGATAAGTGACAAGACTGCATCTTGTGAGATACTGTGTGGCATTTAGAGGCAGTGAAGTAATCATATATCAGCTAAATAGAAAAAGCACAAAAACACAAGACTTGGTAAAGCAAAAACAACGACAGAAAAAGAAATAATTAAAAGTAGAGTAAGAGATGAAGCGTAATTCTTATATAAACTGAACAAACATATAAACCTAAAGCTGTATCTTTCCAATGACGCACATATTTAGGAAGCGGTATCAAATTGATCTGCCTAAGTGTCTATGGGAAGGAGCGGGGCAGGAGAGGAGAGGTGGGGATGGAAGAGAAGAATACAAAACCGTAAGACAGGGCCTTACAGGGGCTGGAGACCCGGGCAAATATCTGGACATGAGACCCTTTGTTCTCCAGTAAAAGTTGGCAGAAATTGTTCATTGAGAAGGAAAACTTTCATATTAAGAAAGAAGATGATCATAGCTCACTATTCAGCCAGTACTTTCCCTCGAAATAAACATACAACACACAACACCAAGGGATACACACGGGCAGAACAATATATTCTCACATAATTCCTACACACACTAAATCATGTCTGACTCAGAACCGTACTGGACCACAACGGTGGAAAAACCTGTCGTCTGCGTTTTGCTGATGCCTCCTCTGTGTTTCTGCCATTCTTGTGCCAGTTCTGGTCGGAGCTTGGGATGATCGAGGGGAGTCGGGGATGCTTCATCTGAAACTGCTCATAGTTCAGTTCCCCCCCCCCATTTTTTATTTGTTTATATCGACTGTACGGGAGGAATGGGTTTAACATTTCCCCCAGCCCCCTCGCCACACTCCCTAGTTTCACGTGTTGGGGGATTTCCCGGTGTGTAACGTATTTGGATCCTGTTCAGCCCCAATGCCCACCCCACAGTCCCTCCTATTCCCTTCCTCTCATGACAGAGTTCAGTCTTCACAGTGTCTCTATCCACTCAGTTTCCGAAGAAGCTTACTTCTGCCTGTATACACGGCAGAACGTCTACCCCTAGTTGGGCATCACGAGATAGCAAAGGTTATGATTTTGCTTGGTCCACGGGGCTTCCCAGTCACCAGTAAGCCAGTAAAGCTGTAGGAAGGGTGAGCTCCTTTCTTCAGGCAGAGTCGGCTTCTGGACAGCACCTGCGTGAATAGTTTCTGATTTGTAAAGACTTTTCTTCAGCTCTACTTTATTTCCTGTGATCATTCTAAAATACTGTGTCTGCCCACAGCATTTTGCGACGCTTCTGTTCGATGTGTTTTCCTCATTATCGCTTAAATTCTCCCCACCTATTCCACCCCTTGAAGAATGTGCAATATTTCCATCCTCCTGGCCTTTAGCCTCCTGCAGAGAACAGGCTGTGGGCAGAAGTGCTGGGCTCCTTTGGACTGGCAGTTAGGATGTTTTATCCACCACCGCTGAGCGCCGTCCTCAGTGAAGGCAGAGAGGCAGAGAAGTGGGAAGGGAAGTTTTGAACTCAAGTGCATGGCTTAATCTCTCAGAGCTCAGCTTACTTATTAATAAAACTGGAAAAAGCTGGAAAAATCTACAGCATATGAGTGAGGGTTGGAGGCATCACTGCTCCACGGGGCTCCCAGGAGGCCCTGGGTAGATGCGGGCTGGTATTGACCCAATCCATATTTGGCTTCTCCTAATGTGACTAAATCAGAGCCATCTGCAGAGTGATGCATTTCTTGACGAAATACAGAAAATGCGGTACCTGAGTCATTTTTCTCGCCCACTCCACGGATGGCCTTTCTTTCTGTGATTGTCTTTCTCAGCTCCGAGGGAAAGGCTATTATTCCCGTGGGAGGTGGTAGTTTGTTCCTGTCTCAAGACGGAGCATCACAATCTTTCCCCTGGAATTGTTCAGCGAGTCAAACTTTAATAACTTTGTCTCTGGGGAGGAGTCTTTAGTAGTGCAGAAAGACTTTCCTGATGCTGCTCTTCATGAGTTTCTCTAATTCTCAGCCCCATGCTTTGCACTGGAAACGCAGAGTGGGCTGACGTTTGCACCTGAGCCAACTTGCAAGGCTCCTCCACAGAAGTCACCGCCCAGGAAATGCAGTGAGCAGCCAGGAAAGTGGCCATGAGGGAACAGGACAGCTCTTCGTGAAGGGATGGCAGGAGTTCAAGTTAATCTCCAGAGCCCCTTCCTTGGATGATCTCAGCTAGCATTCTCAGGAAGGTTAAAAAAGGATGTTAGTAGAAAGGTAAGAAAGACCAGTTTTCTCGTTTCTTTCCTGTTTTTGAGCTTTACAAAAAAAAAAAAAAAAAAAAAAAAAAGATTTCATTTTAGTTTTTGGTACCAGGAGTTTTAGGTTCAAACAAAATTGTGAGGAAGACAGAGATTTCGCCAAACCCCTGCTCACACCTACGCACAGCCTTCTCCAGCATCAACACCTGCTATCAGCGTAGAGCATTTGAACTTAACATCGACACATCTTTATGATCCCAAAGCCGTAGTGTATATTATGGTTTCTATTACATTTCGTGGGTTGGAGCAAACATGCAATAACACGTTCTCACCTCTGCAGGGTCACAGAGAGCATGTTCATTGCCTTCAAGATGCTTATCCTCAGTCAGTGGTTGCCACGAGCCAGGGTGGAGGGAGAGACAACAAAGAGACGGAACACTCCTTTGTGTGAGCACTGAAGACTGTGAGTGCGGCACCCGATGGTAAGGATATGTTCAGTGTTTGTAAGAAAACCTCCCAACTGTCTTCTGAACTGGCTGTATCACTTTGCCTTCCTACCCGCAACGCGTAAGTCCTCCTACCACTGCACATTTTCACCAACACTCAGGGGCAGCGGTCTGTATTTTCCAGTTGGGCTGTGGTGGTGTCTCATTGTTTAGTTCCATTTCCCTGATGGCATACAGAGGCGAGCGTCTCCTCACATGTGCGATGGCCTGAAGGTTTGGGTCTCCCCGAAATCCAGAAGTTGAAACTTAATCATCACTGAGAAGGGATGAGGAGGTGAGGCTTTGGATTAGGTCATTCACCTCATGAATGGTGCTAGTGATCCTACCAAACAGCCCAGGGCGAGCTCGTTTTCTCTCTTCCACCGTATCAAGATGCAGCAAGAGGACACCTTCTGTAAACCAGGAAGCAGCCACCAGACCCCAGTCTGCGGGCACCTGGGTCAGTCTCAGACCTATCAGCCTCCAGAACGATGAGAAATGAACTCCTGTTGTTTACAAAGCCACTCAATCTAATAGATTTTTTTTATAGCAGCACCAACGAACCACTGCAATATACTTACTCTCCATATCTTCTTTGGCGATGTGGCCTTGTGTGTGTTTTTAACATCTCACGCTCCCCTTTCCCTTATAAATGTGCAGCCTTGGTTATGTGCAAAGTATACAGAGCAGCAGATGGTAGCTAATCTTTCATCTTCTTGGCCCTCCTAGACTGGCCTCTTCGGGTCTCTGTTGCTGACCTCTCTGCATACTGGGACAACCCCAGCCAACACAGCGTATGCTTTATCTCTCCTAGAGGTCTGTGTTAATAATACGTGACACCTCTGAAACAGGATACAGGGACTTTAGTTACAGGCGTGACATTTCCTCCTAGACACACGATACGATGCTAATGGCCAGCTCCTTGTTCAGACGGCTGTTTGCTCAGCTTTGCATCCCGAGCAGCATGCCGGGGGAGGGAATTGTGCAGAAGTGGGAAGGAGGATCTGAGTAACAAGTGTGATGGGAACATACGAGCAATGTCCCTAGGAAACATTACGGCAAGTCCAGAGAGAAGAAAATCTACAGGCAGAAAATTTGCACCTCAATGCTACAGGGAAGGGCTGGGGGATTGTTTCAAGGAAGAGTCCTCAAGGCTTATGTGTTCCTTGATGAACCCTTCCCCAGCTTCCTGAACTGCCCTTGGGTTTTATCAAGCTTCTAAATCTTGCTGACTATGGAAAAATACAGTAACGTATGAAGGTTGGTTGTCTTGCCTTTTTAATGTGCCAATTGCAGTCAATGAGTGCTGTTGGAAGAAGATGAACGTGCAATTTAGGGAGAAGCTTGCATCCACATACCGGCTTAATTAGTATGGAGGGACTACAGCACTGCCATGATTGATTTCTTCCTCTATTTGCTAATGTGTCTTGTTTGTCTCCCAACACAAGTCTGTCTTCTAGGTTTGTGGCTTCATTTCCTTTGTTTGTTGATTCCTGTGCTCTCTGCTCTGTGGGGTCCATTGGCTCCAGCTCCCAGCCTGATGAGACAAAGGATTTAGGGTTCCTTCTTGATAAGGAGCTGCCATCACTGAAAAATTGCAAATGACCTTGGCTAGGAGACCGTGTTCTCTCAAGACCGACTCTGAATCCTAACGAAGTCAGCCATGGTCACTTCTATGCCTCACCATGCATCCTTTTGGTCTGTTACAACCTCAGCCTTCCTTGCTGTGTTCCTCCGTCTGGTGCCTGAGCCTGTTATAATTCTTCTTTCTTTACCCGTCATATTTTTCATTTGCTCAGTGTCCTGCTAAGCGATTGAAAGTCCACATCTTACCCATTGTTTTTTTTTAAAATTAAGTTTATTGGTACATTTAAAGCAAACACTACAGTTACATTTATCACTGGGATCTTGTACCTTTACTTACCCATTGTTTAAGGCTAATCTTCGCATTCAGTTCTTTGATGGAACCTTTTTGACTATCACAGGCTTGATGGTTTTACCTTTATCTGGCAGTAAAATCTTTGGTCTTTGCTGTTAATTGATTTATTACCTTATTTTATACGTATATAGATCAAGTCTCTGCTCTACCAGGCACTGTGAGAGGCACCAAAAATGCACAGATAGATAAAGTTGAAAAAGTTATCATCCAGGAGTGAGAGGTGGACAGCAGAACAGAGATGGGCTAATGCCACATAATGCAAAATGGTATTAAGCACAGAACTGAGGTGCATGCCTGTAAGACCAACTCTGGGAGGCTGGAGGGTCACAAGTTAGGCCTAGCTTAGCAACTTAGTGAGACCTCTATCTCAAAATGAAAAACAAGAAAGGGGCAGAGATGTAGCTCAGTGCAAAAGCTGTGAATTCAATCCCCAGTACAAAAATACCCCAAATAAATAAACGAAAACAGGCAAAACAAAACAAAACAAAAAAGATGTGACCGAGGGTGTGAGGATGTGATGGAGAGAAACAAAAGGACTCCCTTAAGAATGGGATTTCTCAAGGTGGGTAGCATTTGAGCTGAGATGTAAAAGACAAAAGGAGCCGGCTGTGGGGAGATTTTGAGGGCAGAGGAAACACACACAAGGGTCCTGTAGATAGAACAAGACTGGTGTTCAAGGAGGGGAATTAATTCCAGTGTGGCTGTGGTTGGAGCTTAGTAAGGGAAGGTTTGGTGGTATGCGGTGAAGTTAGAACATTGAGCAAGGACCAAGGGACAGAGCACATTGTGTGCCAGAGTAAAGATGCTGGAGGGCTCAGAGGATCCACTGAGTATTAGAAGGCCCAGGCGTTCACTGCGTGAAGACAAAAGTGGAGGCAGCAGCTCACACACCTTTGTGGTATGTGGTCCGGGAAAAGGGGCCTGGCGGTTTGGTTGGACAGAAGGGGATGCCTTCTTGTGTGTATTCAGAGATAGAAGTGGTGATCACAAGTTTGATGTAAAGAAAGTGAGAAGGAAGCATCAGAGATAACTGCCAGGGCAAGAGCTGGACTAGGGTGGGGGAGAAGAGTCGAGTCTTCTATGTGGCCACTGTAGCAGATGTCTGTCATTCATTTCAGCCACAGACAGGATTTGCTAAAGGATTTGACCTACATTAGGAATCCATGGTTTCTTAGGGTAGAGAGCAGACTCTTGCTTCAGCAGTAATCTCTGTGGTTGGGGTGACTTTGACTCTGGCTCAATCAGCCACACCCATGCAGCCTCAGGTTGCCTTTTGTTTTGGGAGCAGCAAGTCAGAGGCACGGTCTCTGAGCCCAGCAGCAGCGTGGACACTGGTGTCCGTGTCTGGCGTCCATGGTAACATTTCTGCAGTATGACTTGGGGACTGTTGCTGCCATGGGCCTGCAAGTCTGTCCTCTTGTACTTCCAGGAATCTTGCAGTCACCTATACCCTTCCCATAAGATCAAATTTTGCTTATTTTCAATTCTATGCTCGAATACTTAATTCTGCCATGGAGAATTTGAGAAGCTTACTAGGTATGTAAGAAGGATCTCAAGGAGGCAGTGGAAATCTGAGGCTGTTATTTAGTGGAGGGGTCATAGCTGGGGTTAGGTATCTGGGACGGCCTGGTATATAGATGCCATTAAAGTCAGGCTGAGAGCCCTAGGGGAGAGGTCGCTCACTGAGCAGAGGACCTATCCTTGGGGCGCTACCACAGTGAGCTCAGAGAGAAAACCTGTAGCCCACAGAAAGAGTGGGAGCTACCCAGAGGACAGTGGTGGCAAAACTATGGAACATGCATTGTCTATCTATCTATCTATTTATTTATTAAGACAAAAATGCTAATAAGAGTTGTTTTTCCTAGCCTAAAACATCAGTATTCAGGTTTAACTGCAGTGTTGGTGTTTTGCTATAAATAAGTAGGCTTTGGGATGCTGTTTCTAGAAGGTTCATCATCACTGCTGTAGGAGAAGGACTATCAGTGGGGTGGATTATCATGAAGGCCAAGGGTTCTATTTCAGGAGGGAGAGAAGGTGCAGTTGTATCAAACTCAGCCAAACACTACTGCTTGATATTGCTGGTTAGATTAGAGGCTCAGAAGTACCAATTTCTTACATAAAAAGTAGAATATGTGTTTCAAGTCAAAGCTGAATGTGAGTTACAAATTTATGATTACCAATGATGTGACAGTAACTAAAGTAATAGAAGAAAAGCTATAAAAATTTTAGAGGAAGAGAAAAATATATGCATTGCAGATGCTATAATTTTGCTCCCAGGTCTAGTGTAACTCTATTCAAACATCAAATGAGGTTAACAAAGTTTAAAAAGACTAACATGTCATTCTCAAGTTCATCTAAATATACTAAGTGGGTGAGAAAATGGAAGTTGTGTATTTTGTGTGCTTTTCAGATTTAAAAATGTGTCATAAAACTACAGTACATTGAAATAATGTGATACTGGTATATTAGGTAGATATAGTTTAAAACAGGGTGAAAAATGGATTTTAGTGACCATCCTATCAGATATAATGGAAAGGTAGAATTAGAAGTCAGTGGGGAAAAGAAAGTTCTGACTATTTCCACTCGCATTGTTGAGTCCATTCTTCGTGTCTGGCCCTGCACTGAGTTAGGACATGGAACTTTGAATGTGATAAATCCTGTGATCTTGGAAGCTTAGACTCTTTGCGGAGGACAGACAATCTAGGCTAAGTCCAGAGACTCTGAATTATCTAAGTGGTAGACAGGAGTCATTATGGACCCTTGACTCAGCCTTCAGTAGGTGTCAGGTTAAGGGCTAAGCAGGTTTTCTGTGTGGAGGCCGAAGCTAAGCTGAGCCCCAAGGAGCCCTCGAGGTGGTGATGGGGGACTCAGAGGAAGGAGACTTGGTGCAGAATGAGCAAGCAGCAGGTAGAAAGGCCTAGGGTGAAGGGAGGGCTCGGCGCAGTTGGAGACAGAAGGAATACAGTGTGGCCCAGTTGTTTTGCAGGAGAGAAGTATGGAGAGAGAGGGGGGCTTAGGAAGGACTTATGTGTGTATTATCATTGCTGTTTGTTTGCTA